TTTGGCATTGCGAGTGCTTGATCATTGTGCTATAGGCACAGATCGTATGATTACCGTGTTATAGGCCGGATCATGGTATTGTTATCATTGATCATTGTGAGTCTTACTGTTGTCTTGGTTTGTTATTGAGCCTTGTTATTGCATTGTCTTATGATCTCAGGTTGCATGCTAGTATCTTTATGTTGTTTATATTGTCGAGTCCGTTGACATGTCTTGAGTCTTAATTTTGGTTTTAAAGCGAGAGTTGTTTAGGGCTATATATGTATTCCCAAGTCTCAAAATGGTTTTCTTATATCTACCTATATTGTACTCGACGCGTGGGAGTGAGTTACTCAGCATTATTCGCTGACGGTTGTTACACCATATGTTTTTCAGGTACTGACCAGTAGCTTCGGAGTTCGCTAGGTGGACTCGCAGATTTAACATTAGTTAGTTCTAGTCGTAGTTGCTATGGCCTGTGTGCCTTGAATTGTATTCGAATATTAATTGTGGATTATGCTTAGATTAGTTAGTTGTAGCCTGTGCATCCAGGTTCTCCAGCCTAGATGTGGCATAGCACCCCGATACTTATGACGTTAGTTTCCGCTCTGTTGGGTATTAATGATAGATTCGCCTTTGTTTCATAAGTTTTAAATGTTTTAAAAATTATGGATGTTACAAATACTACCATATTCTTACACTTAAAGAAGGCCAATGATAGCAGCACCAAGGATCGTATAAATTAGACATCATCTCATTATTTATAACTTATGTTAGCCTAAGTTCATATATAATTATTTTAGCATAAGTTATTTTATGAATTTTAGAATTCCAGCACAAATAAATAGGTTAGGACAAGTTTGAGAAGATATAGTCTTCTTGTAGTTACAAGACCACTAAGTCAAACACAAAAATAGGATCATACAACCACTATGAAGAATTTCTCTCCTTGTGGTGCTGAATTGTGTGGTTTTCCTTGCTTGAATAAGTGTATTTAAACCCCTCTATGTCTACTTTGAGGGACAAATTATGAATGAAACAATTGAGTTAGCTTTTGCTTACTTCCAACTCTTATGTTACATAGAGTTACCTCTAGAAGCTGTGAAGTGCGTGTTGTGATTGTGTGTATGTAAGCTTCTATTTTCCTTCGTGTGATGCGAAGCTTCTATCCAAAAGAAAATCCTAAATACATTAAGTTGTTAGCCTTCCAAGAGCCACGTCCCTTTCACCCAAAACAACATCCAAAACACTTCATAAAGAACCATCCATAACGCGAAGCCCTCTAACTGAGTTTTCAGCACAAAACGGAGTGGAACAAGATGAAGATTTGACACGAATCATATCAATGGTATAACTAGTTGATAACATTAGCTGATTGTAGAAAGGTGTTTGGTAAATTAGTTGTTAACTGGTAGTTGTTTCCTGTTTGGTATAATTTCTTTTCTCAAAAAACTAATTGAAAAAGTTGCTTTGAGCAACTTTTTGAATTTTAGTATTTTGAAATTACAAAAAGTTAATTAACCAAACACTTATATTGATTTTTTAACTAAAACAAAAAGCTAATGATTGTCAAATAAGTTAAAATTGACCTATAGAATAACTATTTTACCAAACCAGGTCATAATGTATTTATATTGAGACATAGTTCAATAGTGATTAGTTGTTGTGTAAATTAAGGAAATGTTTTTATCTACGATATAGATTTTGTATGCATTTGTTTTTACCTGTATTATAAATCCCTTTACGTTTCTTTATTTTTACAAGGTAGGCATATGTGTAATGTTAATGAACAAATTTAGCAATCATTTAATTCTTTTTTTTTTTTTTTTTTTTTTTTTTGTAGTTATTGTTCTTCAATTTAGAAATGTCCAGACGGTCCAGTGTTTAGTTCATGTTTTAATTAAGTGCAAATCTTTAAATCTATTTATGTTTTTGTTTTTTATGAAGATGGATATATATGACCAGTTCACTTCAGTGCAAAGGATGAAATGTTTTTCTTGGTATAATTCAGAAAATCAAATTAAAGAAATAAATCAATATTGAAATAAAATAATTATCAAAATATATTTTTCGGTAAAATATCCACCAGAAATGGTATTAATACCTGATAAAAAAAAATGTGTACTACTTCAAGAGTCAAATTATATGCAACAAAAAATAATTACAACATTAAATAAATATGAAGAAATGCATACATACTGATATAAGTAAATATATATTCACAGAAAGAAATATCCATCTTTTAAAATATCTTTTATAAATTGAATAAAAGAGTAACATGTATGTTCATACAACAGCATCCTTTGAAGTTGGATAACGTACTCTTTGTCTTTTTTAAATCTAAATTGCAAGAAAAATTTATGAAGTCATTAAATTACAAAATAAATATGTAGATTTGTAGAAAAGAAAATCTGGAAATTATGAATAAAACGTAAACATGAATTAAAAATAGTAGCAAAATATAATATATTGAAAATGGATTCATGATGAAAAAAAAAAAAAAAAAAAAAAAAACTAAACACTTATCATTCATTTTTAGCCGATTCGTTGGATTTCGGATAACTCTATTCACGTCCAATCGTTAATCGTTATGTTGTGCATCCGTATGCACCGTGCATGGTGTATACGAATGCAAAAACGACATTGTTTTGACATTTAACTTTAAAAAAAAAAAAATCAAAATTGCATAACTACAAATCCATAATTTCATAACTATAAATCCAAAATTACATAACTACACATTCATAATTTCATAACTATAAATCCAAAATTGCATAACTACACATCTATAACTTCATAACTATACATCCAGAATTGCGTAACTATACATCCAGAATTGCATAACTATACATCCATAACTTCATAAGTATAAAATTTAGAATTGCATAACTACACCATGCATAATTACACATCCATAATTTCATAACTATAAATCCAGAATTGCATACCTACACATCCATAATTTCATAACTAAAAATTCAGAATGAATAAACTAAAAAATGAACATAATGTTGTTGCTGGGAATCGAAACTGATATTTTTTTAAGTAGGACGCGCGTTTTGATGCAAAACGACGTCGTTTTTGCATCCGTATGCACCATGCATGGACGCATGGTGCATACAGATGCACAGCATAATTTGCCATTCACGTCACTAAGGTTTTTAGATTCGAATAGCAGAGATACGTAGAGTTTAGCAATTTTTATTTTTATCATTACAAATTTTTAGCTACTGTTATATGTAATTGTTTATTTAACAAGATAATTATATTTTTAGTTGAAGTTATCTTTTTTATGTTAATTATAAACAAAAGTTTCTATGAACCGTAGTGTAATGCAAGTAGCGTTTGTAATATGTTCCATTTATGGTGTGTTTGGAAAGTTGAAAAATAATTTCTGAAAATCATTTTTTTGAGTTTCCCTGTTTGGCGATGAGGAAAATTTGAAGTTAACGAAAAATCATTTCTTGGTCAATGAAAAATACATCAAATTTTCAGAAAAATGACTTTTTTTTTTTTTTTTTAGAAAGACATTTTCCAAGTGTTTCTACCAAGTTCTTTGCCGCCCTCTCTCTACCAGTACCAGAGCACTAGCTAAGACCATCTTCAATTCTTGCGCAAATTATGCCCTAGAAACGTGTTCACTATGAATGGTGAACACGGGCCCAAACGGCATCGTTTTTACCAAAATAAAAAATAAAAAATTAGTTAATGTGTTGTTAACGGCGCCGTTTGTTCAGATTATAAATTTACATTTATTAAATTATGAATGTTCTGTTATGATATTATGAATTTTCTATTATGAGATTATGAATTTACTGTAAATTCATAATCTCATAACAGAAAAATTCATAATCGCATAAAAGAAAATTCATAATTCCATAACAAAAAATTCATAATCGCATAAAAGAAAAACATTTATTAAATTATGAATTTTCTGTTATAAGATTATGAATTTACTGTAAATTCATAATCTCATAACAGAAAATTCATAATTTCATAACTGCACATTCATAATCTCATAAAAGAAAATTCATAATTTCATAACTGCACATTCATAAATTCATGCCTGTACATTCATAATTTATGGATGTTGAAGAAGCTTGCGCGAAGAGAAAGTGAAACTGCGAAATGTGAAAATGAAGAAAAAAAAGTCGCGTGGTTAATTATGAAAAAAAAAAAAAAAAAAAAAGATAACGGTGCACCATTACCGTTGGGACTGTGTTCACCATGGATGGTGAACACGGTTTCATGGCATAACGATTGCAATTCTTGCTACACCAACTGATTCTTCTTCATCTTCTTGCCTTCTTCTTACCACCAAGACATGTTTCCTCCTTTTAAAAAAAAAAATTATAAATTATTTTTTCAGATGGCGGATCTTCCCAGATCTCGCCATCTGAAATGGTTTTTGGGCCAGAAACTAGTCGGACAAATTGGTTCTGAAGCCAGTCTGGCCGGCTAATTTTTTTTAAGCGAAAACTAGTCGGCCAGACTTGTTTTTGCTCTAAAAATCATATTTTGTTGTGATCTCTTGTTCCCTGTTATTTTGTTGTGATTTCGTTTTAATTTTGTTGTGATTTTCTAGACAATGTTATTGTGTTGTGATTTTATATATATATATATATATATATAAAGAATGAAATTGTCAATAGAGATTATGACAATATATAAATTTGCAGTGAGTTTTTAGAGTTTTTGCAGTGAGATTGATATTTTATTAGTCATTGTATTATTATACTGAAAATTGTTATTAAAAAATATTGTTATATTTAAATAAAATAATTAAAATGTTTAATTATACAATTCTGCTCATTTTTTGAAAAATGAATGAAAATAGTTTCTGAAAACTAACTTATTTTTCTGATTTACAAACATACCCTTAATTAATTATTATTATTATTTTATTATTTTTTTGTAAGGGATGCCACATAAACATTTAACAGGTCAGCTTCTTGGTTCAGCGTTGGTGAAATGAATATAATACATGATAAATAAGTAACCGTGTTCGAATCAAGTAATGAGGTGTCGTGGTGTAGTTGGTTATCATGTCAGTCTAACACATTGAAGGTCTTCGGTTTGAGTCCGGGCGACGCCATCAGTTCTTTTACTCAGAGCTTCTGCACTTTGTTTTCTTGTGTAAATCTAAGATATTCACATTTTTTTTTTATTCAGATAACGTTGTGGGGCTGGGCAATTTAACATAACAAATGATGAAAATTTCAAGATGATTATAGTTTTTGCATAAAAAAAATTTCATAATTGCCTAACTACTTGCATAATAACACAGAAATAGATTTTAGTAAGCGTTTGATCCAAGTTATATATCTAAAATCCAAATTAAAATTCTCAATGTTTAGATACTAAGACCATCTCCAAGGGGTGCGCTAAAGCACCAAAACACAAAAAAAAATGCCAAAAATCAGCTCCAACCCTGCGCTATTCCGCCAAATATTTGGCGCACTGTGAACAGTGCTGCGCCATATTTGGCGCAGCACTGTTCACAGTGCGCCAAGACACTATAAGTTTTGTTTTTTTCATTTTGACCCCACTTTTTTGTTTAATTCCTTTTGTGTTTTCTTTTTTTTTTTTTTAATGTATTTGTATATTTTGTTAAATTGTTAACTATAAATTTTATATTATTTAAAATGAATTATATCATTTGAAAGATCTCATCAAGACGATTAAAATAAGTCTAATATTGAACATAGATTAATTAAAAATGAAAACACATAAAGCTTAATTATAACAAAATTAAAGGAAATTACATACTCAATTTAAAGCTAACACATAAAACTTAATTAAAACTACTTTAAACATACTTAATTTAAAACAAACACATAAAACTTAATTAAAACTACTTTAAACATACTTAATTCAATAATCTCCTAGGCCAGCATCATTTCCTCCCAAATGATTAAAATATTGAGTAAGCATGTGTGGGAACATTATGGTAATTCTTTCAATTAAATGTAGCGGATGTTCGATAACTTATTATTGTGGAATAAAATAATATTTGCATTATAATTATATTGTATCATTTTTTATTTTTATATATTTACATATTTCGTTAAATATTAAACATAAATTGTATATTATTAAAATAAAATTATATCATTTGAAAGATCTTATCAAGACGATTAAAACAAAACTAATATTAAATATAATTTAATTAAAGTCTAATTTATTAAATTACAACTATTAGTTTTGTTAAAAGAATAAAAGTATAAATATAAACTTTATGAGGGGTGTAGGAATAAAATTTGGTGCAGAATTTGGTGTAATGGGTTGGAGATGGAAAAAATTTGGTGTAAGAATATGCTGAGAATATTCCTTTTTGGTGTAAAATTTGGTGCAGAATTTGGTGCAATGGTTGGAGATGGTCTAAGGCCATCTCCAACTCACTCAACACCAAAACATCAAATTTCTTCACCAAATGTCACATCATAATGAATATTCTCAGCATATTCTCACACTAAATTTTATTCATCTTCAACCCATTTACACCAAAACACCAAATTTTTACAGTAAAATAATTTAATTTTTCAATTATTAGTTCGAATTTAATTAGTTTAATATAATTTAGTTCGAACTTAATTAGTTTAATATAAAATATAATTTGTAATGTAAATAATAATTTTTATTAACATTAATTTTTTTTTTGAGAAAATTACACTTTTGGTCCTATGACTATAGTGGAGGTGGTAATTTCAGTTCGTGACTTTTAAAAGTAACAGATTTAGTCCTTTTAGTAAGCTTTTTTTTTACACATTGAGTCCTTCCAGCTAAATTTCCGGTAGAAATCCGCCGGAATGTCAATTGGATTTGTTTATTAATTTTTTGGGAAGGGTAAAATCGTCCATTCAGGCCATAGAAAAGGGGGAAAAACGACTTCCCACTTCCCACCTTAATTAAACTACACGCAGAAGGGTTTTCAGTTCTGGGAGAAGCGAAGGAAGAAGAGACGAAGTGGAAGAGAAGCAATCAGTCGCACCACTCGCACGCTCCATTCTCCATCAGGTCGTCCTGGGTATGGCTAATTCATATTCTTCTTGTTCTTCTAATTCTGCTACTGAGTACTATGAATTTGGGGAAAGGTTTCCAATTATCCATTGTAGATGTGGTGAACAATTGAAAATTCGAACTTCATGGAAAAATGAAAATCCCGGTCGTAGATTTTGGCAATGCTCCGGTGCTATTGTAAGTTTTTGTTTTTACAAGTTTTTGTAATTTTTGTACCGGATGTATGAATGAAATTGAATAAATGTTCTTTGAATTAATCCAGGGTAATGTGGGATGTGGATTTATTGATTGGTATGATCCTCCAATGTGCTATCGTTCAAAGAGAATAATTTCGGGATTGCTAAGACACATCAACCGACAAGATGAAGAAATACAGAAATTAAATATGAAGCTTAAAGGTAATAAAGATGATGGCAAAGTGGTTGGTAGTTCTAAGTGGATGAACAAGTTTGTAGCAGTTCTTGTTGTAATAGTTGCACTAATTATTGGTTGTAAGTTTTGCTAGTGAACTGATCCAAAGAAGTGTTCAGTATTTGTAATGTGTTTTGGTAATTTTTGAATTGTGTAATGGTTGGTGATGTAAGGATCATGGTAATGTAAGATGTATGGTATGTTGTGTTAATGTAAGATTTATGGTTTGGTTACTTAATGTAAGGATGATGATTTATTTTGTTAATGTAAGGATGATGGTTTGTTTTGGTTTACAATTCAGCAATGTGTGACTCTTTTAGCAACACTGTAAAAGCCCATGATTTAACAGTTAGAGCATAACATTATGACCAAAACACTGCATACCATAGTCTCATAGTTATCATACATTATGACCAAAACAAACTGCTTTCAACTATTTGTAATCATTTAGCAGCCAAATCAGTTACCAAAACATACATACAAACTAACTTCATCAAAACATACATGCAAACTAACTTCACATGCATTCACTCAATGTCAATTGGGTCATCATGGTTGCCAAAGAACTTGGACTTCAACACAGTCTTGCTCCTTGTATAGTATGGCTTTTTCCTGTTTGATTGCTTCACTTTGGTTCCCTTCTTGGATTTGGCTGGCTGTTGGTTCATCTGAGGTTCTCCTGATCCACTCTGTTCCCCTTGTCCATGCTGGGCATCAACCTCATGCTGCCCTAATCCACTATGTTCCCCTTGGCCATGTTGATCATGATTCTGCTGCTGCCCTAAGTCACTATGTTCCCCTTGGCCATGCATCTGCTGTCCTAATCCACTCTGGTGCTCTCTTGTAGGCATATTGATGGGGATTTGGTGAGTGGCATAGATGACCCTCTTCTTTGGCTTCAACTGAAAAACATAGAGTTTAGGTTACAATTGTTTTATATACAGTTTACTGTAATCCAACATAATATAATACTACACCTTTTTATTTGGATTAGATGGACACTTCCTAGCATTATGCCCAGCTTCCCTACATACAGAACAGTGCAGTTGAATGTGGTTTCTTGACACTCTATTTCCATCTTGGGTCAACTCAGCAGCTGATCTTGTCCTTAACTTTTTGGGCCTCCCAACCTGAAAAACACCAACAAATGAAATCAGTTTTGATCCAGCAGAGAGTTAAAGGATAAGGGTCAGCAATCAAGCAATCACCTTGGCAGAATACAAGGGTGGCAATGAGGGTGGTGTATCACACCTAGGCCACTCAGCAGGACCTGCCATTGGGTTGATACTTGCACTGTATATCTTCATATATGTTTCTTTTGAGTAGCATGGATGGACAAAGTCAAACACTCCACCTTTCCCAAATTTTTTCCATATAGCACATATTGCATGCTTGCATGGAATGCCTGTCAGCTCCCACCTCCTACAAGAACATTGTTTTCTTTCAAGGTCAACTTGTTGTTGATCCCCATATAAGTGTCTAACCTCAAACTTGAAGAAATCACATTGTGTTGCTAAGTAACCAGATGCAGCCTTCTCTATTTGCTTCAACTTCCTGACAATCTTAGGACATATCAAAGACTTCCATTCTGCAGCTTTCTGTCTATTCTCAAACAACTTAGCCATAATCATTTTCCTTATAATTTCTAGGCACTCAATGATAGGCTTGTCCCTTGCTTCCATTATAGAGGCATTCCAAGACTCACAAATGTTATTCACTAACATGTCGCAATGGGATTTTGTAGAGAAGTGAGATCTAGACCATTCTGTTGGGCTTTTATCACCTAACCATTGGTATGCAGCTTCATCTAATCTCCTTAGTTTATACAAAGCATCAGTGTAAGCATTTACAGTGTTTGCCCTAGCACAAGTCCATAATGCATCCTTAATAGCCTTACCCTGGAAACCTGCTACCTTCATATTTGCATGTAGGTGTCTCACACAAAATCTGTTTTCCACACCAGGTAGCACTTCATCAAAGGCTGGAATTAGACCCTTCTGTTTGTCACTTATGAAGCAGTACTCATCCTCCTCTGCATCACTTATCTGCATATCATCTTTCAACAGCCTTAGAAACCATATCCAAGATTCCTTTTTCTCTCCTTCCACAATAGCATAAGCTAATGGAAATATACAGTCATTTGCATCTATACTCACAGCAGTCAGAAGCATCCCTCCAGTTTCAGATTTAAGGTGACAACCATCTACCCCAATCAGTCTTCTACACATCCTGAAGCCTTCCTTGCTGCTTTTCCAACAAACATACATTCTCAGAAATCTTTCCTGCCCACTTCCATCTTTTAAGTCACTCAACTTAACAAGACATGATGACCCGGGATTTGTTGTCAAGACTTCTTCTCTATAACTCCAAATCTTTTTGAAGTTGGCTTCCTCATCACCTACTCTTATCTTCTTTGCCTTCCAAATAGCCCTATATGCTTGTGAATCACTCACATAAAATCCCTCCTCTGTGCAAAGCTTATCTTTGAACTTTCTCATCATCCAATCTGGGTGATCTTTTAATTGAGTTGCCCACCTCTTAGCAACAACACTTGATTTCACCATTGAGTTCTCCCAAACCCAAGAACAACCTTCATGTTCATCTACCATGTTCAAAATCCTCCATGCAAATGACCCTATTACTTTCCTCAACCCTATTCTCTAAGGGCAACCCTCCTGTGTACACTTAACAATGACCCTTTCCTCGTCATTTTTTATAGTTCTAATTTCTTTACCATTATTGAAAGCATAATTTTGAACTGCTTCCCTAAACTGTTGTTTTGAAGCAAATGTCATGCCTAAAGTGAAATGGGGGTCTTTCATGTCTGTTGCAGCTCTAAATATGGGCCATTTGCTTTCCCCATCACCATCACTATCAGAATCCACTACTGACTCCTCATCAGAAAAAAAGATGTCATCCAAATTCTTAACCTTTTTCTTTGTTTGAGCTACATCAACCTGCTCATCTACTTTATCATCCTCTACACTGAAATCAACAACTTGGCCATCATCCCCAGTCCCTACATCAACCTGCTCATCTACCCCCAATCTCTGTACCTCAATCTCATCTTCCCAATCACTTTCTGGCTCCAGTACTTCCATATCAGCTTCAATCAAGTCCTGGTCATCCATTGTTTCAACCCAAAACTCCAACATTTTACTTGGGTTGACCTCATTCAATATAGGTATAAGATCATTGTCTGATTGTAGCAACTTCAAACTATCATTCCAATAACAATAAATCAGGGCACCGACCTCACTATACCCTAACTGTTTTATCTTATCCTTCAACACATCTAGACACACTTCATTAGCTTCCACTCTTTCATACAGTTCTACATCACCACCCAAGTATTTAACTTCACCAACCCTATTTACTATCCCATTATGGAAAAGGACAACTTCAAATGGGCCAACACCATCTCCTGTAAAGCCAACAGTCAACAGAGTGGTACCCACAAGACTGAAAAACAATAGTCATATGAAAATGATTCCTGACCACAAAAAGTTTAAACATAATGGTCCCCACAGAATAACAACAATGTTTCCTAAACCCTATATATGCACATGACAAGAATCAGTAACTACAGCAGTAGTATTGGTCCCCACAGACCACTACAACAATTTCCCATACTCATCAAAATTCATACTAACAATAATAAACAACATACCACTACAGAAAATGGTCCCCACATTACAAGACACAAGACACAAGTACAAACTCCTTTATGCTTTATGCATATATAACCCACACGGCAAACCCTAGAAATGCTTAACTTCCATTCAACTCCACAAAAAACACTCCACACAAACAACACAAACTCATTCACTATAAAATTCATACAATTTAAACAGTTACAAATTATTCAAACTTACTTCGTTGGAGCGTATTTGGGGCAGAACCCGTTCCAGTCGCCAATGATTTACGCATTGCAGTAGGCGAAGTGAAGAGTTCTCTTTGTTCCCGCTTTCTTCCTTCTTCCACACTGTCTTCACGCTTCTCTGCTGTCTTCCCGCTACTTGCACACAAAATTAGGGTTGCGTGGAGGTTGATTAAGGTGGGAAATGGGAATCCGTTTTTCCCCCCTTTTCTATGACTTGAACGGACGATTTTACCCCTCCCAAAAAATTAATAAACAAATCCAATTGACATTCCGGCGGATTTCTACTGGCAATTTAGCCGGAAGGACTCAATGTGTAAAAAAACTTACTAAAATCTGTTACTTTTAAAAGTCACGAACTGAAATTACCACCTCCACTATAGTCATAGGACCAAAAGTGTAATTTTCTCTTCTTTTTTTTTTTTTTTTAAATCGAATTTAACAATATTTTTGAAAATTTAATTTATTCCACAATAATAATATAACATACAACATCTAGTACATTTAATTATCAGAATTATTAAAGTGTTCCCACAAATGCTCAATCAATGCATTACGGAGTGCATAATGAGTTTCTTTATCTTTAATTTTATTTTATTTTTCAAAATTGTGTTGTAGCTTCTATAATATCAATATTATGTCATATATATTTTAATTTTTATTATGTTCTAGTCATGTTTGATGTATGTCGTATGTATTTTAATCTTTATTATGTTCTAGTTATGTTTGATGTATGTCGTATGTATTTTAATTTTTATTATTTATAGTTACGTTTGATGTACGTCGTATGTATTTTAATTTTTATTATGTTCTAGTTATGTTTGATGTATTTGAAATTTTAATTAATATATATTCAATATTAGTCTTGTTTCGATCGTCTCGATGAGATCTTTAAAATGGTATAATTTATATTTAATAATATAAACTTTAAATATAAATATTATAAATATTTAACAAAATAAGAAATTATATATAAAACAAATAAATGATACATTTATAATTATAGAAAGAAGCAATGACAAAATTGACAAATTTCTCCCCCTCCCCACTTTGTCGTGGATAAACAGTGCCACGCCAAGTTCATTAACACCAAAAAGAATGGCGTTGTAGCGAGATGGCGCTCCACCTTAGAGTGGGAAATTTGCTGCTTTGCTGATTTGGCGTTGGAATATGGCGTTATACCCCCTCACCTTGGAGATGCTCTAACATCCAAAAAGAAAATGTTATATCCTCCTGAATGTTTAGATTAACAACATGATAACTACCTGAATGAAGTATATAAACTCCCCAGCCCCATTTAGGAGAGGCTGCACATTCAATACACAACACAACAATGGGCATGTTCAAATTGAATGTACTCAGGGACGGAGCCAAAGGGGGCAGGGGGGCGGCTGCCCCACTCACCCCACCCGCGCTCCATATATAGTCTTTGTATGTATATATGTATATATAGTACATGTTTTAGTATTAGTATATAAAAACTATAAAATGTTAATAAGAAGTGAGTTAGATTAGGTGGTAAAGCACATATTTGGTAATAGTGAGGTTAAATGTTCAAATCTTGGCATTAATATAGTTTTACAATTCTTTTTACTCATTGCCCTATGACTTCAACACAGTCACGTTTTTAATAGCTTCTTTAAACACACACACACACAAATATATATATATATATATATATATATATATATATATATATATATATATATATATATATATAAAACATTCTTTTATATTAATAATGAGATGTGTAATTTATAATGTGTTTTCTATTCAAATTATTTTATCAATTTAATTATGTTTCATATTCTGTTATGAATATTTTTATAAAGTTTCAATGTGTTTTATTTTTCGTCCATATCTTACAATATTTACAACTATATTTTTAAGTAATTTATTTATTTATTTTTAAATTATCTCTTTTGTTTTAATGTTTCGCCTTTACTTGAAAATTTTTTTGAATCCGTCTGACGTCTGTACTGTTTCGCCCCATCTCAATCGAATTTCTGGCTCCGTCCCTGAATGTACTTAGCATAAAAAATAAAAATAGAAAATGCCTTGTGTTTGCACTTGTACTCCTTCACTTTAGTAGCATATTTAAACTTGGTATGTTCAGAACATCTCATGGTGTAACCAAAAAAAAAAAAAAAAAAAAAAAAAACTTAACTCATAAATTGATGCGTTATAGTCTTGTATTTATAGAAATTAGTTATAACCAAAAAAATTTAGTGCCATAGACACCTCCTTTTGTAAGAACATTCCTGAATTTTGTGACTTGCTCTTTAGGTATTAATGCATGGAAATATGTTCCCTGCAACCAAACCATTATAAGCAACAGTAAAAAAAAAATAATAAAAAAAATCACCATGAACATGTTAATATCGAAATAGGTATATTAATAAGACGGCTAAATGGTTGTACCTCCCCTAGAAGGAGAGGCTTGGGCTCTTTTAAAAGGAGTTCAATTGACCATAAGCAGAGGCTACTCGAAAGCTATTTTTGAGACAGACTCACAAGAAGTGGCAGAATATATGCTGGGAACCAGTACACCACGTACCGTGGCACACAACATCTTAGAGGCTTGCAAAAAGGAACTCAGCAGACTGGAAACTTGGCAGCTGGTAGCAATTCTCCGGGAACAAAACCGCACAGCAGACTGCTTAGCAAAACTATCTAATAGGCTTCCAGTGGGCCTAAACATTTTCCCAGAACCCCCGGCTCTGGTCAGAGGAGTCTTAGTAGATGATCAATCTGGCATTCCAAGTTGGCGGAGTGTACAGGAGCATTCTAGAACAGTGTAATAGAGTTTTTCCGGGTATCCCCCTCCAGTTAGATATAAAAAGAATAAGAC